ACCCAACTGGACTGGCAGATAAATCTAGGGCAGTGCACCCTCATCGACGGATCAATTTTGTGTCACGGAAAATTTTGGAAGTATGGAACAGTATGAGTATTTCAGAGGCTCTTCACCCACGATCGTTTCCATTTCTGTCCATGGGTGGCTACAATATCAACTTTTGACTTCGCAGCTGAGGATGGAGCACAGTAAACTAAGCAGTCAAGAGAAACCGAGTTTGCACACCTTATTTTAGTTTAGTTCTTATACCAATTTTATTTTCTCCATTTAATTACTATATTATACAATTGATGATGATGTCTTTGAAGCTGTGTAAAACCATCAAATAAATTCTTACTACTATTTTAAATGTTTAAAATAAATACATTTTTTTAAAAAAAAAAGGAAAAAAAATATCTCATTGCAATCAACATAACTTTTCCGGTTGCTTAAAATTTGTAACATTTTAATTTTCTGTGATCCCAAATTTATTTCAGCTCTACTTAAAAGCCCAAATCCCCCTCTGCCCACCACGCCGATGGAAAAAATAATCCATTGAATCATTCAATTACACTTTTGCGTTTTCAGCTTGTTTTTTTTTTTTTTAAATTGTAATTAGACGTTTTGTATTAGATCTATGTAAACCATCTAACTTAAATGATCTAAAGTTGGCTACAAGTAAAAAAGAAGTATTACTATTGTAAATCAGTATCAGTCCTCACAAGCCGATGATGAAAACTGTAGTACTAAAGCGAACATGCAAGGCAAACTGACGCTGTAAATTATAATTATATGTCTGAGGCGAAAAATAAAAGATTTCTCTTCAGGTCAAGATAAGAGTGTTAAGAATCTGTTACAGATCTACGCCGATCTTAGCCATTTGGGTATCAGCCCTTTTAATCGCTGACTGATCGCGGTTCTATCAACTTCCGAGTATTCGAGAAAGTTTAGAGGGGATCACTCCCGGTTTATTTTTTGTGTGCACAAGGCGGTCAAGCGTGTTTTGAACGTAGTTGCAGTTAGGAGTTTCTTCCAGGCATTTCTTCGGGGGCCCTCGAAGAAAGTCTAACCCCTCCGCCATGAACGAGATGGAATCTATATAGAAAACATATACTTTTACCAGTGTCCGACCCCCCCCCCCCCCCCACCACACCGGAAAATGTAGTCTGTCGTGCCCCCCCCCCCCCCCCCCCAAAAAAAAAATCAATATGCTAATGAATAATATTCAAAACAACTGTCACAAGTAGCAAACTGTAATAGCATTCATCCCCACGCCTTCCTCTCCCCGTCCACCCCATTGTATGTGCATTACAAGTCATTATTGATGTTTATCGTCCTATTTTTAACGCTTACTCTTTTAAAAATGAAGATATTAAACTGTTTAAACAGTTCTTTATTAAATGCCCATCAAAAATACATAATTTATGCCATACGAGCTTTGAATTTCTAAAATATTGTTCTAATATGTTTCGGTCATATATTATCAGCATAAACAGAGTTTCTTACCCACCCACCCCCCCCCCCTCACTGCCCGAAGAAAGTCTACCGCCCCCCAAGAACGAAATGGAATTTATATAGAAAATATATACTTTTAACTTTAATACTTTTATACTTTAAATTTTAGTCCGCCCCCCCCCCCCCCGAAAATGTCAAGTGCCCCCCCCCCCCCACCCCACGTAGCGAGAGTATCCTGGGGTCTTTATTTTATTACTCGGACAGCTCGCCTTGACAAACCTTCGGGGGATGTTTCCTTCGTGTTTCCGACGGTACAGGAACAGGGCATTTCCCCCCCCCCCCCCCGTCAATTACCCCCTCCCACCCCCGGACATTACCCCCCGGGGTAATTACCCCCCCCCCCCCCCCCCGAAGTAACTACCCCCCTGTCAACTACCCCCCCCGGGGGGGGGGACAGGGTTAGAGTTAGGGTTAGGGCTAAGTTTATGGCTAGGGTTAGGGTTAGGGTTAGGGTTAGGGTTAGGGTTAGGGTTAGGGTTAGGGTTAGGGTTAGGGTTAGGGTTAGGGTTAGGGTTAGGGTTAGGGTTAGGGTTAGGGTTAGGGTTAGGGTTAGGGCAAGGGTTAGGCTTAAACCAATGTCTGGCGTTGGTTTTGGTTTTGTGTTAAGTTTTAGGCTGAGGTGGATGCTTAGGTTTTGGTCTTTTTCTTAAGGTTATGATTAAAGTAGTATATAAGTATAGAATTTTATTTAGAGTTAGGATTATAACTTGAGAGGGGGGGGGGGGTAATTCCGCGAGGGGTAATTGACAGGGGAGGTAATTGACAGGGGGTAATTGCTACGGGGGGGGGGGGTAAATACGGGTGGGGGGAATGTCCGGGGGGTTATTGTCGAAGGGGGGGGGGGTGATGTCCTGTAGCCCAAGATCACGTGTCGAATTTAGATATACTCTTACTTTAAGTGTAATCCTCCATGCAGCGCCAAACTCATAGCACATTCTCCAGCTCTCTTCGAAACTGAAATTCATGTCCGAAGTACGTCGAGCCTTTTTCGTACATTAGCCGGTCACTTCGCGATCTTGCCGGGAACCTCTGGCCAATGTGCAATGTGATTTATAGTGTGATAGCGTTTTACTTATTCTGGCAGCAGTTTCATGGCGAATAATGCTATAAAGTTTTTTAAACTCGTTGTTTTTAAAATCAGAAAGTCTGGTCTGCCTAAATATTTGCGGTTTAATGATCGAAATAGAGTCTATTACTTATTTTTGTGCTATGTAATATATCAACGGTCTTCTGCCTTTTTGGCAGTATGTTTATATTTATTGTATTTAAAATTTTCTAAACTGTAATGCATCCTTAAATCCTAGCACGGTGCTTAGCTTTGGCATTTATAGGGCTAATTTGATTGGATCATTTTGTCGGAGCCTATTTATTGGGGTCGTTTTGTCGGGCTATCTTGCCACGGGTTGATTTTATGGTTTCTTTCAGACATTTTTTTTTCTCTGTGGTAGGGTATCGGGCACTAAAAATGTCCGGGGTGGGGGACTCACTTAAAGTTTCCGGAGAGGGGGGGGGGGGACTGGTTAATGTAGGATGTATATTTTCTTAAATTAATTGTATTTTTTTTTGTACCGTGGGACGATGGACGGGTTCAGGGCGAGATGGGAGGGGGTGAGAGGGGAGGGGAAGCAGTCCTGGTCGTTTTCACGCCTTACGTAATCTCTCAACGCCCATTGGCGAATGAGGGATCAACAGTGTGATCTATTTCGTCCTGTCTTTAGCTATTGTGCTGTAACCTATGGCTATTGGAATATAAGGGAGAATACCTATAATTAACTTGCCAAAGTTCGTTGTAATACATAGTAGTTACATAGCAACAAAGTACAAAAAGAAATTTATTCTTCAGTTGTAAACAAACAAAAAATTATAAACTGTTGAAATTTTCAAAATTAGTCTCTGCTATTTCAAAATTTTAAAATTATAGTTTAATACTAACCAGAAAAAACACTAGCCAGTTAAATTACGAAATTCGTTGAGTAGTGTCAGGATATGTTATATAATTGATTGGGATTACCCATTCTGTATCTGTAATATTCGCTGTTCTCAATCAACACCTCCCCCCCCCCCTCACCCAACTGGACTGGCAGATAAATCTAGGGCAGTGCACCCTCATCGACGGATCAATTTTGTGTCACGGAAAATTTTGGAAGTATGGACCAGTATGAGTATTTCAGAGGCTCTTCACCCAAGGTCGTTTCTATTTCTGTCCATGGATGGCTACAATATCAACTTTTGACTTCGCAGCAGAGGATGGAGCAAAGTAAACTAAGCAGTCAAAAGAAACCGAGTTTGCACACCTTATTTTAGTTTAGTTCTTATACCAATTTTATTTTCTCCATTTAATTACTATATTATACAATTGCTGATGATGTCTTTGAAGCTGTGTAAAACCATCAAATAAATTCTTATTACTATTTTAAATGTTTAAAATAAATACATTTAAAAAAAAAAAAAGAAAAAAATGTCTCATTGCAATCAACATAACTTTTCCGGTTGCTTAAAATTTGTATCATTTTAATTTTCTGTAATCACAAATTTATTTCAGCTCTACTTAAAACCCCAAATTCCCCCCCCCCCCCCCCCCTCAGCCCACCACGCCGATGGAAAAAATAAATCCCTTGAATCATCATTCAATTACACATTTGCATTTTCAGCTTGTTTTTTTTTTGTTTTTTTTAATTGTAATTAGACGTTTTTGTATTAGATCTATGTAAACCATCTTAAATGAATGAAAGTTGGCTACAAGTAAGAAAGAAGTGTTACTTTTGTAAATCTGTATCAGTCCTCACAAGCCGATGATGAAAACTGTAGTACTAAAGCGAACATGAAAGGCAAACTGACGCTGTAAATTATATGTCTGAGGCGGAAAAAAAAATTTCTCTTCAGGTCAAGATCAGAGTGTTAAGAATCTGTTAAAGATCTACGCAGATCTTAGCCATTTGGGTATCAGCCCTCTTAATCGCCGACTGCTTAGGCCGATCGCGGTTCTATCAACTTCCGAGTATCACTAGCAACAACCAAGACCGCTGCGGAGTTTCGTCCAGACATCCATCTAATTTCTAAAGCTTGTACTTTGATGGCTGTAATATACGAGTGGTTAATTCAATTTTTTGTTTTAAATTTTCAGCTCGACAAGGCATAGCTAGAAACAGCCGTGGTGAGTTGTCTCCGTCACGATAGCCTCAAACTAACGAAAGCCGTAGGTGGGTTGTTTCCATCAGAATAGCATCAAGCTTACGACAACTTAGACTTACTATACCCAACAAACTAGATATTCTCAACTCTCGAATACTCAACGCATCATTACTACCCAGCAACTAAACTGACTGGTCAATGGTCATGTAGGGTGACACAGGGCAATTACACACCATACTTTTTTCTTTTGTTTTATTGGCAAGCCACCAATATGCCAGCTCAATGTTCTCAAAAGAAATTTAAAAAAAAAATTCAACATTCTAAAAAAAAAAAAAAGAACCAGTCAGACATTAAGACAAAAGCAATACAAATCTGTAAAATATCAATTTTATTCATGTTAATTAACAAGAGATACAAAAAAACATTTTAGAATTTTAATGAAAATCCCATGCCCTGGGCAGATGCCCCTTTGGCAGCTGATGGCATATGGAATCCTCCGGCAGCAAAATTTTCTTCATCATCCTGGGAATAACAAACAATTTCAGTACAGTTATAGGATATCTATTATTTTAAAATTATAATGTGGCTACATGATATCTAGCCTTTTAAAATTATAACGTGGCTACAGAATATGTAGTCATTTGAAATTATAATGAAGCTACATGATATCTATTATTTTAAAATTATAATATAGCAATAAGGTAACTGAGTTGTGAAGTTTTTGGCCAGAAAAAGCTCATGAGTTGATATTATAATTTGAGTAGAGGTTGCTTAAGTATTAATATTACAATGTAGTTGTTCATAGATTGGCCTACCTATTAATCTTATAATCTGGCTACGTTCTAGTTAATGTATCAGTTTTATAATGTGGCTATAGTAGTGTGATCACCACACTGACCTGACTATGAGAGCTTAATTTGAAAAATGGCTATGAATTTATTTTAACTTACTATACACAAAAACCCTAACACCATGAAGAACCACATAAGTATTGTACGCATTTCAGAACTTAGCCAACTACTAACAACAAATAACCCAACAGCTTTTAAAGCTAATCTTATCACAATACTATACATAAAACAGCTGTTAGTTTTATCAGCCCCCCCCCCCTTGAATCCCAACACACAAGTGGCCCTACTGGCCAGTGTGTAGAAGCTATCTCAGCAAGGTTACAGCAAAAGATAGAGGGATATCAGTTACAGAACAGAGGTTGTGCTATGTGCAATATCTGAACCCAGGAGGTCAAGGTTCAAAGAGTTCACAGATATTTATAGCATGAGACAGCTGTTTGTGCCCCTGCTTGCTGAGTATCAAGTGGGCTAGCTTTGTGCATTGGTTAGTGTGTGTATGATGTACTGTCACTGTCTGTGTGCTTTTACAAATTCTAAAACATAACAGATTGTCATTAATTTAAAAAAAATACAATTAACAAGTGTGAGTTAAATTATAGTTAAATTATTGTTAATATAATCAAGATAAAAAAACTATTTACTAGGTTTGAATTTCATGTAATAAAATATTTGAACACCTTTCCAAAATTGTTTTAAGTCATTATTAGAATTTTTGGCCATTGGTTTTTCAAATTGGCAAAAATAGTACGTGTTATACATATATAATAAATATAATGTATAGAAGTTTAAAAAAATGTGTTAAAGAAAGATTTTTTAAAATATTTTTAGAAAAAAAAATACATTAAAAAAAGATAAATAAAAATTGAACTGAAAGAAATGGACAAAAAAATTGGTCAAAGTAAAGAAAAATGAAACAGAAAATTGATGATATTTTCTATTAGACAAACACCTCATACAGGATAAAAAGAAAATTCTTTTATAAAAGATGGAACAACAAGTTTTAAAAAATTGTATGAGCCCATACCATTAACTTTTGATAAGCCTTCCCTCCAGAGGGAGGCTTGGGTGAGTTGGCGTGTTTTCTGGTCTGCTCACTTCTGGCCGGCCAGGTGGGGAACATGGAGGGGTCAACAGGGAGAGGGGACTCACGGAAGTACTCATGCTCCAGGGCTTCTTCTGCTGTAATACGCTTTTCTGGGTCGTATGCGAAAAACCTGGGGAAAAAATTTAGAGAAACAAATGTGAAATTTATTTTTAATAATTAATTTCTGCTGTTATAAGTTTTCCTGATCATTTTCAAAAACCCAGGGAAAACATTAAGAGAAAAAAGTAAGATAAATTTTTTTAAGATAATTAATTTTTGCAATATAATGTTTATGCAAAAATCCTGAAAAAAAAAATAACCTACAAAAAAAAAATTAAAGCATTATTTTAAATGCCTGGAAGAAATATTAAAATGTATATTCTGCAATTTTTAACAGCTGTAAAAAAATAAAGTGTATTTATTCTGATTAAAAAATTAGCTCAAAATTGAATGAAAGTAAAAAGTTTAATAAAAGATATTTAATTTTTTATTCTTTACTTGTTGTTAAAATGTGTTTATTTTTTAAGTACATATTATGTTCAATGCAGTAGAATCTACTACAAACTGGTACTGATAGATGGTTGGAAGTATTAGTTTTTGAAATTCTAAACAGCCTTTGGTGCACGATGTAATATATTTTAACAACATAGTCATAGACATGTGTAATTAAAAATATATTCATTTTCATATAATTTATGATTTAGATTAGATAATTTATATTCCACTTTGTGCCAAGGGTAAAAACTATTTCCCAAGTGATTAGGCTTTTCAATGAAACAAACTATTAGTATACAAATATTATAGCCTGATAAAAGATACAATACCTGTTAAGCAGATTAAAGCCATGATCTGTTAAATAAGAACCAAATCTATTTCTGACAGCATTGTATGGGTTTTCATTAAACTGGACCTTTTTCATTCCTGGCAACTCTGTTACTCCAGGCCAGATTTTCTCAGTGGGTGTACCCAAATCCTATAATAAACAAAATAAATATCATAATGTGTTTTAACGAGTTTTTTTTTTGCATGTCATTTCTCACTAGGCTGCTAACCCGAAAGCCTAGAGTTCGAATCCGGGTTCAAGTCAGCAGAACTTTATGAGTCCACACAGCTCTGATGGGTACCTAACTCTTGTGAGGGAAAATAAAGGCAGCCAAGCATAGTGCTGACCACACTATCCTTTCATATGCCAGGGTTACTTAAACAGATCAACTCTACTTCATCTGCTCCATGTGTCTTGAGAAAAAATGATGATTATTAAAAAGAACTCCATAAATCAACAGCTTTATATATTAATGGGATCATATCTTAACAGATATTAGGACAACAGATATCTTAAGATCTTACCTTAAAGATTTTATTGATATTAGGACAACAGATATCATAAAATCTTACCTTAAAGATTTTATTGATCTGATCTATCTCCGACTTGCCAGGCCACAAGGCTTTCATCAGCAAGAACTCAGCAAATATACATCCCACTGACCACATATCTATGTGGGTTGTGTACTCCTGAAATACAACATTTAAAACTCAGCAAATATACATCCCACTGACCACATATCTATGTGGGTTGTGTACTCCTGAAATACAACATTTAAAACTCAGCAAATATACATCCCACTGACCACATATCTATGTGGGTTGTGTACTCCTGAAATACAACATTTAGAACTCAGCAAATATACACCCCACTGACCACATATCTATGTGGGTTGTGTACTCCTGAAATACAACATTTAGAACTCAGCAAATATACATCCCACTGACCACATATCTATGTGGGTTGTGTACTCCTGAAATACAACATTTAGAACTCAGCAAATATACATCCCACTGACCACATATCTATGTGGGTTGTGTACTCCTGAAATACAACATTTAGAACGAATACATAAAAACTGATATTTTGTAGAGGTAAAATATGAAACAGCTAATTTAAATTTACACCGATGGAAAATCAGCAAAGCTTTAATGAAGAAACAATTAATAAAATGGAGCATTTATGTCAAAAGAATGATTCTAAAAAAATTAGGGTTTTCATTTCTTTTTGTTGAGAAACTAACTAACAATACAATATAAGCTTAGAAACAAATGACTGTCCTACCTTATATTAAAAGCTAGGAATGTAAAGACAGTCTTTGTTTATAACAAAAAGCTAAGAATTTAAAAACTGTCCTACATTATATTAATTATAATAATAGCTAATACTATGTTTACACTTGCGATATGTATATCATTCATCTAGAGAAAAAACTTTACAATAAGCACATAGCCCCCCCCCCCCCCACTATAATGTTCTAATAAAATTAAACTTTGGCGAAGTTGTTTTTTTATGTGTATAGTATACATGTCACATGTGTAAGTGCGGTGTAAAGAATTTAAAGATTGTTCAACCTTAGTATTAAAATCTTTGTATGTACAGTTTGTCCTAACTTATAGCAAGCTTATTATGTAAAAATTATCCATACCTTACAACCTAACAAAAGCTCTGGGGCTCTGTACCACAGTGTCACAACAATGGGTGTGTATGGCTTCAGTGGAGACCCATACTCTCTAGCCAGACCAAAGTCTCCCACCTGTTATTAAAGTAAATGTTGGAGAACTCTTTAGAAACAAAGTTAAATTATTAATACTAAGAATAAAAGCCAATCTTATCTATCTAAAACATGAAAAAAGTCTATTTTTTTTAGATTTTTTTTAAATTTAAAAGAAAATTGATAGAGAAACAAACCTTTAGGATTCCTTTGTGGCTTAAGAGTAAGTTTGAAGTTTTGAGATCTCGATGTAAGATCCAGTTGTCATGTAGATGCCTCACAGCCCTTAACAATTGTTTTAAAAGAGTTTTGACTTCCCCTGTGGAACAAATATATCAAGTCTTTAGTATCATTTAGTTATTTAAAGAGTAAACTAATCAACTGATCAAGGTGAACAAAAATATTAATTGTAACTATAAGAAGCTAACACAATTTGAAATAGTCTTCACCAAATAGAACAGTAATGGCTTAATTTATAATTGTAAATTATAGTTAAAATATAGAATCTTTTACAATATAGTTATTTTTTTTCCTCCAACACATAAAGCAGACCCTACCTAGAAAAGATATTTCTTCATTTTTTTTTTTTTTTTTTTTATTTATAATTTTAGATGTAAATTAGGTTTATAAAGGTCAGCTATAATTAACTTTCTAATTATTTTCAGAACATGAATTTTTAAAAAATATTCAAAACAGTTTGAAAACAAGACTGACAGCTTAAATTTTGAAAACCATGTTAAAGCACAAACAATGATATTCTTGCATAGACAGGAGTTATTGGTCCTTAAAATGGTAAAAAGACAACTGTTTAGTTATAGAAAAACTTCAAGAAGTAGTGGGGTAACAATAGTCTTACCAACGAGGAATGGATTCTTCATATTTTCCATTAAACTTTTGAGATCATGCTCCACAAAGTCCATCACAATGTAAATCTTGTCCATGTTGCTGCCCACAACAATCTCCTACAAATGTACACAGAAGAGAATACAGATCTCAATACAATGAAGGCTTGCACTTGATTCAAATAATAAGGTTTATAAGCACACGCTTGACTATTTACTGAATGAAAGTCTAGGGAATAGATTGGTTTGATTAACCCAGGTGATTTTGCTAGTGAGCTTTTTTATTCTAACAATACTCCAGCTTTATTGATATGTTTGTTAAACATCTACCCTGTGTGTCTCATAATAAAATGAATGTTTTGCTTCAGTTTACAATAATAAGTAATAGTGAAATAAGTTGTTTTTGTTCATTCAAAGCAACTTTGTTATTGTCATGTGAATTCAAACATGTTAAAATATGTGCATTATAATTATACTCATCCTCAGAGTAGAAAAATTACATCCATAATTGTTAAATAAAATTTCCATTTTTTTTCTCAAAACAGGGTTTTGAAGTTGTGTGGTATTTAACATTTATGTATTTAGCAATTCTTATAAGGCAATGAATTGTTTAACCATTTCTTTCACGATATAAAAAGATAGCGTGTACGCCTCAAAAAAGGAGTTTAAACATTCAGGTTTTTTGGCAGCAATATTAATAGAGAAATGTTTTTTTTTTTTAAAGTACTTAGTGTGTACTCACCCTAACAGTTACAATATTTTCATGTTGAGCTTTTAAAAGTGTGTTGATTTCTCGTAATGACGTGATAGGGAACCCTTCTTTTTCCTTCTCCATCTTGAGCCTCTTTAAAGCCACAATCTCATCTGTTTTTTTATCTAATGCTCTGTACACAACTCCATATGTTCCCTCCTCAATACGATTTAAACAGTTGAACTCTTCAACACTCCGACAGCCCTGAAACAATGACAAAACATCTTGTATCCTATACTTTAATCAATACAAAATTGGAGCCAATAATGTGATGTAGTTATGACTAATCTTGCTCTTTTATTTACAATTTACCCCATTTTATGTTTAACATTAAAAAATAAATACACTTTTCTTCTAACTTTTTCTTAACTTTGCAATTACATTGTTACTTGGAATAGGCTATACGTTTTATTTTACAAAAGTGAAAAGACACAATTATTATTTATTTTTTTAGAAACCAACAGAATTTTTAACAATAACTAGAACAGCAAAAGATTTGACATCTGAAGCAATGTCTTAATAAAGAGTTTGCTTCCACAAGACAAAACATCTAAAAACCACCAAAGAATCAGTCATAAAATAAATACATTTTTCTTATAAAAAATAACTGTTAATTATTACAGTCGTCTTCTATTTGAATACAGGTTTCTTATGATCATTTAACAAAACCAACAGTAATTAGCTAATGCGTACCTGTATGGCAGGTAAATACAGAGGTAACGAGTCCTCAGGTCTCTCCTCAACATCAGACATCTCAGGTGAGTCAGGCACATAGTTGTTTGAGTTGATGCCATCAGATCTTGGCTCAGGGCTTTCAACATCAGAGTGGTCATCAAATTTGGACCTGACTTTTGCTGTGGGGTCACACAAAAGAACAAATAAACACACAAGTACAACATTAAACATAAAACAGATTAATCTACCACACACATTGGAACTCGGTTTTTGTGTTATAATCAAGTTAAAATGATATATTTAGGCCTATATATATATATATATATATATATATATATATATATATATATATATATATATATATATATATATATATATATATATATATATATATATATATATATATATATATAGTTAAAATGGTATATTTAAAAAATGGCACTGATAAAATTCATACATACACAGCGGTGCATATGTGGTCAAAATAGAAAAAGAAATAGATCGGCACAAAAGATTTTCTACTTTTATCTAACATATTTTGACGGTAACTCTGAAAGACTGATCATACTTAAAGTGTAATAAATTCTAAATTTTAATCTACCATACTTTGACCCAAAAATGGCAAACTCAAACTTACAGTGTTATAAATTCATAACCTTAATCTACTGTACTTTGACAGTAACTCAAAGTTACAGTGTTATAAATTCATAACCTTAAACTACTGTACTTTGACACAAACTCAAACTTACAGTGTAATAAAATCAAAACCTTAATCTTCTGTATTTTGACAACAAACTCTGAATGATAGATAATAAAACTTACAGTGTAGTAAATTCATATCCTTAATCTACTGTACTTTGACACAAACTCAAACTTACAGTGTAATTTTTCCTCATCATCTTCCTCTTCCTCATGCTCATTCTCTTTCGAAGTGTCAGCAGATTTGTCTCGACTTGTGTCCAGGTCTTCTTTGCTTTCCTCCCCTTCTTCACTGCTCTCCTCCTCACTGCTGCTGTCTGCTTAAGGACAACAAGAAATAGCTAAATGGTTGTAACAAATTATATTTTTAAGTAGAACCTGTTGCTTCATGTGTTACCATTAAAATAATGACAATTTTTCTTTAAATAGCCTTTTTTGTTATTTAAACAATAAGTCTAAGCTAAATGGTTGTAACAAATTATATTTTAAAGTAGAACCTGTTGCTTTAACTTCATGTGTTACCATTAAAATAATGAGGACAAGAAATAGCTAAATGGTTGTAACAAATTATAAAGTAGCAGAACCTGTTGCTTCAACTTCATGTGTTACCATTAAAATAATGAGGACAACAAGAAATAGCTAAATGGTTGTAACAAATTATATTTTAAAGTAGAACCTGTTGCTTTAACTTCATGTGTTACCATCAAAATAATGAGGACAACAAGAAATAGCTAAATGGTTGTAACAAATTATATTTTAACGTAGAAGATCCTGTTGCTTTAACTTCATGTGTTACCATTAAAATAATGAGGACAACAAGAAATAGCTAAATGGTTGTAACAAATTATATTTTTAAGAAGCAGAACCTGTTGCTTCATGTATTACCATCAAAATAATGACAATTTTTTTTTAAATAGCCTATTTTGTTATTTAAACATTAGTCTAAGGTCGTTGACCTCACTTAAAAAGGATTTTCGAATCTATAGAATAGAAAAGTTTAGTATGGGTTCTTTAAATGGTCAACAACATGAGTAAAAAAGTATTTGAAATGATTTTACTGTCATAACCTCAATGCCCAACCACTTTTATATGACTGAAGTCTTGTATATGTCTGAGCTAGATCAAGAGTAGCTTTAAAATAGGAGATCTTATTAGATCTAACACTACTCTGCAAAGCAAAGTATCTTGCCCACAATTCATAAGAGCTCAGTAATGACAGTACTATACCCCAACACATTGATCTGGCTACCTGAACTAGAGTCATCTGAATCAGAGTCAGACTCTTCACTGTCCTCCTCCTCATCTTCTTCATCATCAGCGTCTACCTCCATTCCTACCAGCGGATCTATATCATCACCTCCCTGTTCATTTTCAGCCTCCTCTGGCCTTTCTTTTTCTTTTGATCTGGAACTTTTTTCTATAAAAAAAAAAAAAAAACCAAAACACAATTACCAAAAAAAACAACAAATAATGAAATTAATAACTTTTAAAATATTACAAATGTTTTTAAGGGGATGGTGTGGTCTGCGGGAGAACTTATAATTTCTAACTCAAAAAGTACCAAACAAGGACCATGGACAGATGATACATGTTAGCTGAGGACAGCAACCCACATAGGCGAGAACACTAAAAAATCAGACAACTGCTGCCTTGTAGATTGTTTTTTGGTTGACAAAGGCAATAGAAGCAAATCCAGAAAGAAAAGCAGACTGAAATCTGAGTTAATATGGGAGTAATACTAAAATGTGTTAAAAGGAAAACCTTTCCAGTGATACAATTAAGAACAAAGATGAAGAATTTATTTTTAAGTAGTAAAAACTCATAAGCCAATTTATGACAGAAATAACTGTACCATTTTCTACAACCACCATCCTTGTGTCTTGTTCACTGTCTGTGTGTTTGTCTTCTTCAGCTTTTAAAGAGGTCTTGGATGATGAGGTTGACAATGAATTTTTACCACTGTCCCTCCTTGAAGCTGTGTAATAAAAGCAGTTGGAGAGGAATCTATCAAATATGTCAACAAACATTTAAAACAGTTCTAAATACATCATTTATTCTTCAATAGCTGCTCATTAAAGGATGTGATTGAATAGAAGGGGTGCTATGGAATAACACAATCAAGTGTGTGATTGCACTGCATGGGTACAAACTTATACAAAATTCAGTCTTAAAGAAATGGGATGTCCCAGAGTCCAACCAGCTCTAATGAGTACCTGAGCAGTCTGTGAAAACCCCAATGGGTGTGGGTACTGACCATACAATATCTTAGGATACACAGGCCACACAAAAAATCTGAACTATATTTGACCAAGGGTACTTAAATTTTACTATACATAAACAAAACTACAAGTAGGTGTTCCTTTCAGTATACATTCATTATCAAGGAGAGATTTTCTCCTAGTGGACTTAAAAAACAGAAAAACCAATTTTAACAAAATTTTACTTTTATCTTCTTGAAGTCTAGGTGGTGGTGGAAAGTAGCGCCCCTTATCATGGGTTAACTTCTCCTGATCTCTGCTTCGACTACGATGTGTCTCTTCCATTATTTGTCTGTCATCCCTTCTTGTTTTCTCTCGTTCTCTTCTTCCCCCCTCTAGAGAAAAGAAAAAAATCAAGAGCTTTCTAACTAAAAAATAAAATTAGAAATCCAATTTTTACTTTTATACAATACTAAAATATGTAAAAACAGATTTTTGAAGGGAAAAATTAACTAAAATGAATTTTTAAAATTTTAAATTTGCAAAAAAATTAAAAAAAAAAGACAACTAACCCATCTCAACTGTTCTCACTGGCTGGGATAACTCTTTATGACCTGGGTGACGAGATAATTTCCTTTTCTCTCCCCTTCGTTTCTCCAGCTCCATTCTCTCAAGGCGTTCCCTAAAATGTAAAAATTATCAAAACATTTAAAGTACAATATACGTTATATTTTCAAGTTCACCGAATCACCAATGTGCTTGAATTTATATTATTCAACAAAAGCAACATTAATAAAAAGATTTGGTAAAAAAATTATCAAAATGAACATCTTTCCATGCTGAATACACATAAAGCAATGGAGCTGAGTTCATCTGTTTCAATGGACTTTGCATATGAGGGATAGTGTGATCAGCACCATGCCTAGAAGCCTCAAATCAACAAGAAACCTAAAATATTGTGAATGAAACTTTTTACATGGCTCATCAAATAGAAACTGTTTTCATATTCTTAAAAATAATTTCAAACCAAAATAAAAAAATAAACAGAAATTCTGAATGAAAACAAAAAAAAGACAAATACATCAAACATACCTTTCTCTTATAGATTCCTCCCTTTTGCGAGCCTCCCTTTCTTTCATCTCTCTAGCCACCTCCTTCTCCTTCATCTCCCTCTCTTTCATCCTCACCATGACAATCTCCCTGGCGTCTCTGAAGTCTCTGGGCACGTCTTTCATCTTCTCTCTTTGCATTTCATGTTCTAACCAGAGGGTAAACATATATCAGATCAACATGAGTAATTTCATTCTTTGTAATAATCATCATTTCACATTCGTGTCCAAATAACATGGGGAAGATGAAGTAAATTTCATTTGTTTAAATGACTTGGGAACAAGAAGAAATAGTGTGGTCAGAACTATGCCTAGCAGTTGGTTTTCTTAATGTTAATCAGGTACCCATCAAAGTTTGGTGGACTCAAGAACTTCCTTCAGACTCTAACCTGCAATCTCAACACAAGACTTTTGGGTTAGCAGTTGTAAGATCTATCATCTGACAAGACTGCCCATATTGTAATAATAGTGTTTGATAAGTTTCAAGTCTGTCTTCTGGCTAGGTTTATAGTCCTGGTATTTTTCATTCAAACTCAAACACAGCTAACATTGCATAGTACAATGCTTAGATTCCTAGTCTAAGGGATTACATTTTGTAATCCTAAATACCAGAAATATATCAAATGTTTTACTACTTTAGCTATAAAAATATTAACAAAGTATAAATATACTAAAATATTATGGAATACGCTTTATGGTATCATAGTTCAAAATTATTTAATTATTTGCTAGTGTTACTGGTGTATCAATATGCTAAATACAATAGTAAATACAAAATATATATATATACTAAACATAATGAACACTTACTATCAAGTCTAGACCTGTCCTTAGATGAACTGTTTTCATGAACTCTATGTTTATCTCTCTTGTGTTTGTGGCTCTTATCTCTATGCTTCTGAGCTTGTAGCTGGGGTGGCTTGATAGTTAGGCTTCCTCCTTCTTCTTCTCCATGGTCAATAGCCTCACTAGTAATATAAACCAGAATTTAAAAGAGTTAAAAAAACTGAAATTTAAAAAAAATTATAATTTGTTTTTATCAAATAGGCCTACACATCCCACAAATGTATCAATGCACACAAGTAGTCTACAACTGTTTTATATTGGTAATACTAAAAAGACGACTTTAAAAAGCAACAAATGCAAGTGAGATAAAAGCAGAAATAAATAAGCTAAATAATAATGTTTTTTTTTTTGGAAAGAAAAGTAATTATACTTCAAAAATTTTTACAATAAAATAATAAAAACATTTGGAAACATAAACATTTTCCAACAAGTAAAATAAAAAAAGCAAATATAAACTTCAACATAAATTTTGAAAATTAAAATGTATATTTGAATACTAAACAAAATGAACTTCAGAATATTAATTTTGATCTGGGTTCAGGTTATAAGGTGATGTTTAATGAAACTGTTACAAGAAGAACTTACTTTTAAAATATACGTATATATAGAATGAGTCAGAAATATATCTATGTTAGTATTCTTTTTTCAGAAAGTTTGTAATTAATATGCCAACTTCTAAAATATCAATTCAAATTAGATTATCAGATATTTTGTTGATAAAGAAAGACAACAGATTATAATGTAGTCAGCGGCACTGAGAAGCGTGGACACTGATTATCAATAATACTTGGTTGTAATTTAACATGTACAGTGTTGTAATCTTAAACTTATTGTGATACTGTAATTTAAAAAAAATATAAATTAAAATAAAAAGCGCTGGAATATTTTTACACATAAGAAATAGCTCTGATAAATTAATAACAGTTTATATCATCTTAATAGCAAATTAAAAGTACATTGGATAGATTAATATTTTTTAAAAGTTAGAGTTTCACATTAAAATCAAATAATATCATTGTATCTCAGCACCAAATGGCCACACAACAAAGTTAAACCAAAACTCCACACAAAAAGAACATATTACCTTACAACAGAGTTTTTGATCTTTTTGACAGTTTTATTTTCTTTAGATCTAACAATGAAAAACATATGTGCTCTCTGCGTGTGTGCAAACGGTCATCGATTAAGTGGAGTAATTTTTGTATGAGTTAGTAAAGAAATCTTTTGTTGATGAAAATTAGAAACCAGATTCACATGTTTCTAGTTATAAAAGTATATACATAATCTGGACTCTGTGTGCAAAAGGTCATCAATTATGTGAACTAATTTTTGTGAATATTTTGATAATCAGTTTAATTTTTGTGAATATTTTGATCTCAATATGGAGTAAATGGTTGCAAGCTAAATGCATGATATAGTGTATGCATTAGAAAAGTAATCTTTTGTTGATGAAAATTGGAAACCAGATTCACATGTTTCTAATTATAAAAGTACATACATAATCTGGACATCATCATCTTCATCTGCGGTTCCAACATGGGGTCTGGCCTCTGGCGGTAGTTGGTGGGATTTTTTACTTTTTTTACTCTTCTTCTTTTTTACATGTCTCTCTGGGCTTGATTTTAACTCTCCTTGCTCATATGGGCTTTTCTTGCGTTTTGATTCAGACATTATAGTTGTACCCCCTGAAATAATGGAACAAGAAACTAGTGTCAATTGAATATTAAAATAAAAAGTATTTCTATATTCACAGACAGTGCAGAGTCAGTTATTGTTTTGTTAATATGGCCACCCTAAAAACTAACATTAAAACTAAGTAATTCACTTAAAAAAACATCGTATTATATAGGGCCTAATCTATAGCCTTATGAGAGTTAAATTTGGAGTAAATATACTAGTAGCCTGCTTAAATATTTTAAATTTCATTTAACATAAAACTTGACAATAAAAAAATTATTCCAGAAGACAAGGTATATGCCTACACTACACATTATTAGGCCTATTTTTAATATTTTATTTTTACTTCCTTGTATAGAATGATATACGAAATGTTGTAATCGTGCAGAAAATCGAAATCGAGATTTTCACAAATTTCGACCTTTTACATGTCCCTGTGTCGGAAAAACATAGTTTTGCAATTTTGTCTGTATGTCTGTGTGTGTGTATGTATATATGTGTGTATGTATGTGAGTGTCTCTGTCAACACGATAACTTGAGTACCATTTTACAGCTAGGTTGATGAAATTTCAAGTAGGCCTATAAGTATTATATCAAATTTGTAGTTCTGTATCAACTTTTCAGCGATTTCCGATAACAGGAAGTGGAGCTTATTCTACTGTTTACAAAATTTCATATATAGGCCCCTAAGTGAAAGATCTAATTTTCTGCCTTCTGTCAAATTTTGAGTAATTTCTGTTGACCGGAAGTAGTAATTTAAGCTATTTCTGATTTCTCAAAAAATACATGAATTTACCAAGTACTAATTATAATAATAATAATATTCCACACTCTGTCTTAGGTTTTGTCTTAGTCTAGTTAGTCTCATAAAAATTCAATTTTCTTCAAATTATAAAAAGAATAGCATATAATTGTAGAGCTTTAAAAATGCAATCCAACAGTACCAATTTTATTAATTTAGCATAAACGGTTGATTAAATATAATTTTTTTAGTGTCGCAAATAAAATATATAGAAACGCGACCAAAAACGCAGGTAAAAAGTCAAATTCACTTGTTTTAAAGCTAGTAAGCAAGAAAAGACATGATTCTTTCTTACTATTGAAATCAGTTTGCTTATACCTACATTTTTTTACACCAAGGTGAAAGTAAATAGTTTATATAAATTTATAAAATGCCATTTATATAATTTATTGTATGTTTTGTGATGAATTTTCAATTGGAAAATACCGCATTTGGAAGCAGAAAGGTAAATTCTACAGAACAGATGTTGTTTGGAATGTTATAGATTATAGATCTAGGCCTATATCAAAATGTATGTTTGTTTAATAAAATTCAATTAGAGTCCACCCATTTCTGATGGGTACCTGATATACATTGGGGAAATTAAAGGTAAAAAGTAAAGGCGGCTGTTAATATCGCTGACCACACGGACAATCACTTCATATGCAGAGGTCAAGAAACATGAACTCTACTTCATCTGCCAAATAGATTGCTTTGTCTACAGAGGAATCTTAATTAATGTTTACAGGGGCCTAATAAAATTGAGTTATGTTTGTAAAAACATTAGGCCTAAGCTTTAAAAACTTATTTTGGTCAGTATCGGAAAAAATAAAAATCTTTTCGACTAAATGGGTTGAAAAAAGCTTTGAATTTGTTTCATTGTTTGTTATTATATCTTGTAGTATTTGGAATTGAAGCTTTCTTTCTTAATTACAAGTTGTATTAATTTCAAACCTTAATGTAATTTCTTTTTAATTCAGTATTAGCCTAAATGTAAGGTAGGCTACAGAATTCAGATATTACCTATGGTTTTGTGATTTTTATATGTTTATAACATTTGTGTTTATGAAATGACCTAATGAAGTTATCAAGCAAACTGTTTTATTATTATTTTAATAGGCCTGCAAGTTATAAGTACAAAATATAGATATCTAATCACTAGATCTAGGTCTAAGTTTAAGAAAAAACTACCAAAAGGGTTTGAAATACTTAAATATAGTACTAAAAGTAGCTATGTTTTGAAAAAAAAATATCTTAAACTGGAGACATTCAATTTAAAAGTCATTATAAAAACTCCACGATCTAGATTTATTTCTAGATCTCTAGTAGGAATACAGATTTAGAGGCTTTCCCATCAGTATCAATGTACTATCTTAGCTATGTGGGAGGTCAGTATGAGTTCACTGGGAAAAAAATCGGAACTGCCGTAGGGGGGTGGGTTTAGTGCGCAAATGCTCCTGACCGATTGCCAAAAGGTACAGAAATTCTAAAGATACATTTTAAAAGAAAAATGGACGGCTGAACTGCAGTTATCAAAATATCTGTGTAAGTAGAAGTATAAATAATAATATTTTACACAAATATAGCTGTCTTTTGCTAAATCTAGCTCAATTTCCACGAAAATCGCATCCGGTCGCAATAATTTTTATATCAGCTTGTCGGCCATTCAACGATCTATCACGTGTAGCAGACGCCAAACAGATTTACCCGTATGGTATTGCGCGAATGCTATTTTTAGCAACAGTGCCGAGACGCGATCGAAAAAAACGAACTAGAAAGTGGCCATAAAAAAGCGGGTCAGGGGAGGTAATTCAACTCGCGTTATGAGACTAGCTACTTAGTCTTATAGCAGTCTTATACAGATTATTTACCGTTCACTTGCTGCGCAATTTTTTTTCTACCAGATTCTATTAGCCTGTAGATAGGTCTATTTAAAAAAGTTAAAGTAGGCCTAATTAAAAATTATTTTAAAAAATTGATTAGACCTAAACATCATCTGATCATGTCCATATCCCAGTAACTAGGCCTATCAAAATAAATAAAAATTAAAAATATCGGTAATCTATCGTTTTGGGTACGTAAAATCGCCCGCGATTTGTAATGTGAAAAACAGGTGACTCCTTAAATTTTAATAATTATTTCACATTTTGAGGAAGATTTATGTTTTAAAAAATTCAAAAATGTTTCCTTGATTCATTTATGTACCTGTTTTTAAACAATTGAATTAAAACTTTTCCGTAATAAATGAAGACTAGCGATGTTTCCAACAGATGCAACCATGCTCATTTACTATAGCAGCCATCTTGTCTAAGTTTTATTTTTATAAGCTTTTAGCGCCAGATTCAGGGGGAAGCCACTCTATTTTACAAATGGCTGCTGTTTATATAGCAAATCTTGCTCTCAGACACTGCTGTTTAAAGTTAATTTCTGGCCTATATTGATATATTTAGCCATTGATTTAGGTTTATTATTCATTTATCTATAATATTTGACACAAAAGTATGACAATATACTTCTATTAAAGCGTTGACAATGAGGTAACGTTTTCGTACATAAATAGCCGCGGGCGATTTTACGTACCCAAAACGATAGATTACCAAAATATCACTCCTCGCTCACAGTGAGGCTCAGTCAGCCTCAGTCACACTCAGACTCAGCACCTTAAAATTCAGTAAGTTACTCACAATATTATTAATAGGCCTAGATCTAATATCAGTCAAATATTTAGGATAAGAGGCCTAATAATTAGATCTAAATTATACAACAAAACATTGAATACTAGCTCTAGATCTAATACTGCCGACTGCTATCGAAAACATGTAGATTTCTATTTCACAAAGCTCTTTATCTTGTAAAGATTTAAATACTTTTATCAGGATAAGTACCGAAAGAACATAAAAATTTTAAATGCAAATAATGATGCCTGCGTCGTTTTTATTTGGAAACTTTAGATTTTCAGATGTGTTTATAGCTAGCAAACATTAAGTATTTAGCTATAAATCCATTTATTTCGATATAAAATTGGCTTGATAGAATTCAATCAATATTTTAACAAGATATCGAACAAAAAGGGTAAAATTTGAGGTCATTTCGCGGGGTGGGGAAATTGGGGTTTACAACCCCCTCTCCCCCTCTCCTCCAGCACCCTTACACCATTCGTCATAAACTTATAAACGTATTGGGGGTCATCCATAAATGACGACACGCTTTTTTGACGATTTTTACCTCCCTCCCCCCTCCCCTCCGTCACACATCGTCACAAAAAGCCTGACACCCCTCCCCCCCCCTAAAATGACGCCACACCTCAGCCTACAACACCCCTCAAAATTGCATTTAAATTTTTCTTGAGACATCGACATTTTTCCAAAATCTTGTCTGAGCTCTGTCAAAATAGAGTTTTTTAATCAATTCCTTGCAATTTATTAAAACAGTTTTCTAAAACGCAATATAACGTCTAAAGTTCATTTTCTAACAATGCTTTTTTTATAATGCAAAAGTGTGACGTCGCACCATCTGAACCCACCTCGTCACACACCGTCACTAAAATACGCCCCCCTCCCCCCTGTGAGTGTGACGTCATTTATGGACGAACCCTTACTATACATTTTAAAATTAAATGCACTCAAAGTTATAATGCACACATTGTAAATCATCGATCTGCATTTATAATACCAAGTTGATGCAAGATATGCCTGCGCAAGAGTTATGTTCCGTATCATTCAGCCAGTAAAAACATGTATGCTAAATTTAATTATTTTTATGTTGCTATTCAAGGGTGTTTTTTTTTTAAGCTTAGCTTTAATTTTAATTAGTAAAATTTTATAATCGACCTTTGCTCAATAACATCCAGCTTCAAGAATGAGTAGGTCTTGGTCTATATCGCATATGCATTGCATAAATATACTGATTGGGTTGTGTTAATTGTTAAAATTTTCAGTATGGGGTAATCTGTAAATGACTTCATGTCAATAGCATATTGTCACAAAACGTCAGGCCCTATCTGATATTACAAGGCGTCAAATTTCAGCCCCATTAAAACTGATCAGAGGGCTCATTTCACTGTGCTGTGTTCCGAATCATTTTTAATACAGCTTACATAATATTGTCCGTGTTAGGACATCGCATTCATTCATTGTTTAAATTCAGGGGATAGCGCGAACGCAGTCCCCCCTACGAAAAAATTACGCACCCGAGTCACCCACATTTGGGGTGATCGCAGGGGTCAACCCACACGAAGTGCAATGTGCAGGCCTCGCCCTGGGAGGACCTCCTTGCTGATCAAGGTGCCTCCTGTGCCAGGTAAGTATGAAAGTTTTCGGAGTTTGACCTACACTTTAAAAAGGCTTTTATAGAAAAATAAGGCGTCTGATTCTTAAATATCAACAAATTTACAAGCTAATTTTATAAGTTAAAATATATATTTTAGTATTTTTATACATAACTATTACTTTTTATAACTAAATTAGAAAAACATTAGTTATACTTCCAAACATTTTGCTTTAATTCTATATAAAATTATACAGTAACTATAGTGGGGAATTAGATCCCTTAGAAAAAGATTACATTTTATTACTTCCCTTTACTAATAATCTGTGTTTCAACTATTTAATAAAAAAACTGAATTTATTTATTTAAAAAAAAATTACAAGTCATATTAACTATAATGTAAAGCGTCTATTTAAAATGTACTAATTTAGTGTAATAAGCCTTCTAATTGACCTGCTTTTATTGACAGCGTGGCAATAACAACTGTCACGGCCTACTAAGGAAAACAGCTGCTTTGAGCCAGGGGCGGAACTACAGTGCCGCCAGACCCCGCAATGCGGGGGGGGGGGGGGGGGGGGAGGGGGGGCATGCCATTTAGGGCCCATAGCCGACCATATTAAATTTATTTTTTTTTTAGTTAAAAAAATAATTTTCTTGCATTTTTGACTCGACGGTAAAAGCTTTTATAAATTACAAACAGATCTACTACAGTTGTGATGTTATACAGTAGCTAACACAAGCTAACACATATATATGCCTGAGCTGTAGTGAAAGATAGGCAAAAGTTCGAAACACTTCCATGACATATTTCCCTTTTTAAAATGATTAAACAGGGTTGCTCATAAGCTCCTTTTAATATATTTGTACTAAACAAATTAAAAAGCAATTACTTCTTTTAATTATTATTTTTTAAAAGTACATACTAAAGATTGACAAAGCATAAAAAGGAAATATATTTAAAACAAATAATACAAATACAAAAAAAAAACATAAAAATAAACATAACAAAAGAAACCATTACACACATAAAGCTTTCATGCTTTATATTATTTTGACCGGCTAAAGACTAGAGGGTAGGTAGTATTACAGCAAACATATTGAATAATTACTAGTTCTAAATTTAAAACAAAAATTCAAAACAGACTAATGCGCTCACACATGACATGTTGTAATTTGTTTAAATTGAAAAAAGTCGGCCAAAGCGCGCATTGGCCAATCTCGCGTCCCATCGACCGGTCAAAGTCAAAATTTTACTTGATTTGTGTCTTTGGCCAGCCAATCCGCGGACTGGCTATAGTGGACCGGTCAAGTTCCGAATTAGAAGATCATGATCCAATTTTGGGTTGTTTTTTTTTTTACCTTAAGGATGATGAAATTAAGTCTTTATAGATTATTAATTAAAGTACATGACAGAAACATTCACATTATTTTATTGTACTATAGTCTCAATCAATATTATCACTTGTTACAACAAGTTGAACTTTTACGGCATTTAGAATTACATAGTAGCTTGTTATTTTTACACTTGCAGTGATTTGTTGTGCTCTTGGTTGTGCAATTGCAGCTCGAATAGCCTTGGCTGCCGGTCAGTGATTGTGAAGATGCGATGGTTCGTAGTTTTTTTTTTCTCAGTGCCAACGGACGAGAATACAGTTGTTTTAGAACACCATGTTCCGTTCCTAGCTTGTAGAAAGCGCCTCGACGCTCATAACAACTGCAATGACGCTTCGGGGATCACCGCGACCTCTGTCAACATCTGGTATACGGTTGCGAACGTTATCTCCCACTTTAGCTTGTTTAAAATGTGTATCTGGTTTTGACGTTCCGCCATGGCAGCATATGTGTTAGCTGAGGATGTCGTTGCATTAGTTCAATATTCTCAAGATCTTCCTTAGTAGCTAAATTATCGAGAGCCTCTCTTGGTAGATTTGAAATGCTAAGTCCGACTTTTGCATTGCATCCAAACAAGGCTTCGTATGGCGATTGTTGGATTCCTTGATGAAAAGAAAGGTTTTTCATAAATTTAATGAATTTGAGACTCTCAGCCCAATGTGCTGATTCATTTTGTCTGCATCCATGTCATCATCATAATTTGAACATCTTTGTTGGTACGTTCTTCTGAACCTGGGCTTTACGTCAGGCCACATGTTCTTTAGTTCAGAAATATTTTGGCAACCATCTGGTATGTCTGTCTCTTGGTCTCATGGCCCTTTTGGTCCATATCGCATTGCATATATAATGCTATATAAACAAGAGTTAATCAATACGTTACTTACAATTAAACCGCACCCAGAATATTAAAAACGTGATCGTAGTCTAGATAGAACATTGACCAGGACATCCCGGCCAGTGCGCGCATTGGCCGGCCAATGTACAAAATACGCTGTCAAATTGAAGCGCTCCAGACTTTGGCCAGTACGTTTCCGGCCAGTGCGCGCAGTGGCCGGCCAATGTACGAAATAGCTCTCTGTGCTAAGCTCTTTGGGCTTTGGCCAAGAGAGCCGGCCAATGCGCATATTGGCCGGCAATTGCACGCTTTGGCCGCACTTCGGGCTTTGTCGGTCTACATAGGGCTATATTTTACATATATGCCGCATACGCGTACATGTATGTGTAAGCTTTAATCACTACAGACATATTGTATTCCCGACATTTGCTCTCATACATAGTGTAACTGTAATCGGAATACTGTTGAGTGAACTTTGTTATGATGTTTCAGTTTTCGACAATTAGAGCAACAAAATTAAAAAGTCAGATATTTTTTACTGCGTCTATCGCAAGATGGCCGCCTCCTAGTTTGTCAATAGATCTAATTTAATATTAAGTTAATTAGAATTTATAGGCCTGTAAATAATTTTAAAATTAAATATTCCTAGAAATTTTTTTAAATACTTTACCACTTCATTGACTTATGAGACAGTAAGAGCTGGAATCAAAAAGAAATGACGGAGCTTAAAGTCACTCCGTTGGGTAGGTTATTTGAATTATTTCAATATTTCTGAATTTCAAAATAAAAAATTCAAAGAATCATTTTTATAATTTTACTCGGGTCTTGGTAAAACGCAAAGTGGCGAGGCGGTAAACCGCGAGTAGGGTGCGAAGCTGCCTGTTGCGTTACATTTTTGGTTTTGCATTTACTTCCAATTCCAATTAGTAGATTTTCTTACTAAATTAATATGAAATCTACTAACTACTATGAAAGCAGGCAATGAAAAGATCAAGTAGAACTTTTTATTACCTCCCCTTGATTTCAAATAGTTTAAAAATTAAATTATCTGTCATCACTAATTCGACCCGGCTCTATGAATGTAAACAGCCCACAAGACTAGTGGGGTAGGGGTGGTAGCGATATGGTCTGTTGAGCATGCCTGGACAGCGAGGGAGGGGCTGCGTGCGTCTATGTGTTGTCCTGCCTGGTCCCCTCCATGAAGAGAATTATATAAATAGATTTAGACTGTAGTCTATTATTTAATAGTTGCATTTTTGTTTGTGTATTTTTAAAAGATCACTAGATCGAGTAACTCACCATGACCATAGTGTTCATAGCCAAAAAATCCATATCATTTAGCACAGCTAAGTGTGTAATGTTGATTATACTTGGTAGTAAAATGCTAAAAATGTTGAATTCACAAATTATGAATTGTTGATAAGTAGAAAATAAAACAACTAGATAGCTGCATATGCTACCTCGCAGGTCAGCTTGTAATATATATTGTTTTACACAAATATTCAAGAGATTTTTTTGGTGACATTTTTGGTTTTGGAGTATACAATATATAAATCTAGTAGCCTATATAGTAAAATAGGCCTCCATCTCAATACTGTAAGATACTATGTTTATCTTCCTCATTCCTATGGTCTTAAAGAATGGGCATTGAGCAGAGAAATATACAAATTTCAAACGGCATGCATATCACTGCCTATTGTTTCCTTTTTTCACCAAAAAAATTCAGCCTCAATACAACTAAGCAATAAGTAGTAATGTAGACCTAAGCTCCCCCCCCCTGACTTTTATAAGAAAATGCTATAAACTGTTAAAGGTCAAAATAATAAGAATGAATAGCATTTAAATATATAAAAAATATGCTTGTAAATTTATAATAGAATTAAATGATCAATGTAGAGCTTGAAATCTACAAAGTAAATTAAATTTTATATTATATGTAAATATAGTATATAGGCCTACAAAAGTTACTTTATCTATATTGTTTACTCATAACGAGACACCGTTTTTTTTATTTTATTTTCAACATTAGATTGAAACTTTTTCTAGACGTAGTTAAGTAAAACTGGTTACTGTAAATTTTAGTTATAGTCAGCCACATTAATGTGATTGAAATTATTTAATATAATAGAACTCATAGCCTAGGTAGGCTTCATAACTTATTGTTAATTACTAATTTCACTTTATCAACTCTATTCTCACAGGTGCAGGCCAAGGTAAAGATTCTGGTTTTTTATTAAACAGTATTATTATTGTTAAATAGTATTATTTAAAAGTTTAAAAATTCATTTACACTAACATGTTATGTTTTGGAAACAAAAAAAGGAATTATATAAATATATATATATATATATATATATATATATATATATATATATATATATATATATATATATATATATATATATAGGCCCTATATATATATATATATATATATATATATATATATATATATATATATATATATATATATATATATATATATATATTTTTTTTTTTTTTTTATTTATTGTATTTATTTATTTATCAAGTGCTAAGCAAAATGTATGTATAAATCTGAATAATCATTTTATTCGTTTTCCTATCCTCATAACTCTTTTTGTTATGTGTTTGGTATATCTTTGATTGTTCCTCATCGGAGCTACAGAAAGACTTACTCAACCAATTAGTATATAGTATTTTTAAAAAAAAAAACACTTCATTTAATTTTTAAAACTTTAAAAAATGGTTATAGTATGCAAAGAAATAATTAAAGCTATCAACTACCATATTATTTTCTGGAAAATGGTTTAGGATAATGGATTGAGCATTTACCTATTAACTATCTCAGCTTATCCAAGTTTTTTTGTAAGTTTTCATTATTGAATGTATTCTAGTTACACCCATTACATTTTTTTAGGATAAAAAAACTACTTGATTTTTAGTGAAATAATTTTTTAATCTCTTATTGTTAAGATGTGGGACGCAGTTGTATCCTTCTCAGTATTGGAGGAAAAAACATAATGCTAGACTGTGGCATGCACATGGGCTACAATGACGATGTAAGTTTTAAGTTTGTTCATTTTCTGAACTGAAGTTCTTTTTAATTTAGAATGAAAACTATAGGATAAATAATTTAGAATGAAAACTATAGGATAAATAATTTTTCACTCAAATAATAAAACTATAAATTCAATCAAATAGTTTGCATTAAATGTACGTGAACGATTCTGATAACAATGGACTAAGTAGAGTGTATGTCTACTCTATGCAAATGTAGCTGTTTTTTTTTTACCTTAACAATCCCTATATAGTCGGTAAACTTATAACAATATTAGCTGTATTAGTAAACAGGTATCAGATACTGACAAGTGCTAAGCTTTTGTTATATCTTTTTTGTTATTAATAATTTAAAAAAAATCCTTTATATTCTGACAAGTAAGAGTAAAAAAAGTGTTTTAATACCCATACTGAAATAAATGACCAATAGATTAAAAAAAGCAATTTTGTTACCGATATTTATGACTTGTAAAAATGTTTATATTTCAGCTAATTTTCTTTTTCTAATTTTCTTTTATCGTTAGAGACGATTTCCAGATTTCACATACATAGCAAAAGAAGGGAGACTTACCGACAGAATAAACTGTGTCATTATTAGGTAACTTTGCAATTTATTAATTTTGGTAGCGTAAATCAAATTATTTTGATAGACATAGATTGTGTCTATCTGCTGTGCTACATTCATGAGCCCAATTTATTTAAAAAAATTTTAGTCAGCTCTAATAATTAATTGATTAAAGTCAATAAATCGATTTTCTGATTGTTTTGTTGTATAACCCAGCCACTTTCACCTTGATCACTGTGGAGCTCTACCTTACATGACTGAGATGGTGGGATATGATGGCCCTGTCTACATGACACATCCAACAAAAGCTATCTGCCCCATACTTTTGGTAAGAAAAGTATATAAATTACTTGCCTGTTGAGTGACTAGCAACTTTTTCTGTTTGTTTATACAGTAACATTATTTTTTTTTTGCTTATCCAACACAATTTAATCTTAGTTTTTGGAGAGAAAAAAATGCATTTATTTATAAACATATATTTTATACATAAAGAAATAATGAGTTTAAATATAATCGTTGTATTTAATAAAACAGGAAGACTATCGCAAAATTACTGTAGAGAGAAAAGGAGAAGTTAATTTTTTCACATCAGAGATGATCAAAACTTGCATGAAAAAGGTGATCACAGTCAATCTACACCAGGTGATACAGGTAAAAAAAATTTTTTTCACTCTCTCTCCATGAAGATTACTAAATGTTCTCTGCACAGTGTGTTGTTTTATCATAAAAGTACTGTTCCCCTTTTGAGCCTAACAATCCATAGAGCTGAAAAAGTAGAGCTCATATGTTTCTTGATCTCAGCATCTGAATGAATAGGGTTGACAGCACTATGCCCAGCACCGTTTACTCTCCCTAGTGTTAGTCAGGTACCCATCAGAAAAATCTTGCATTTCTCAAGCTGGACAGAGTTTCGAACTTGAAACGTTCAGGTTAGCAGTTAAGTCCCCTACCACTTGTCTAATCATGGTCCCACATTTGCTTTATCATTACAAAGCAAAAATTTTTAAAATTATATTTTTCTCTATGTCAAAAACAATTTCAATGTTTCTTACACTTATTAGTTTCTTTTTATGCCCTACAGCATCTCTGTTTTAGATATTTGATTTCTGTCTTCATGCATGTACACAGTGTACACATTCTTCAAATTAGATTGACGATGCTGGTATATAAAAACTGTCTAATGTTTTTTTTTTTAATCTCACAGGTGGACGACGATTTAGAAATTAAAGCTTACTATGCAGGTCACGTCCTAGGAGCAGCCATGTTTCAAATTCGTGTTGGGCAGAGTTCTGTTGTTTACACAGTATGTTGTTATTTCCCTTGTACAAGTAAACTTGTCTCCCTTGATTTAGTGTGTTAGTAACAAGTTGTTTCAATCACTCCTTGCCCAACTTAAAGCTTACTATGCTGGTCACGTCCTAGGAGCAGCCATGTTTCAAATTCGTGATGGGCAGAGTTCTGTTGTTTACACAGTATGTTTTTATTTCCCTTGTATAAGTAAACTTGTCTCCCTTGATTTATTGTGTAAGTAACAAGGTGTTTCAATCACTCCTTGCCTAACTGTATTAATTAATAAATACTATGTTTTTATTTCCCTTGAATAAGTAACAATTAGTCTGGTCTCCCTTGGCTATGGATGTTAGTAGCATAGAGTCTTTCAGTCACCACAGGCCTTTTGTAATGGCTAAACTCTTTACTTGCCTAGTTCTTAATGCCAGATAATACTGATGACTCAGTTGTTGAAGCTAGCATTTGTTAACATCCAAGTATACTTAAATTGTCTTTGAATGTTAAAAACAACATAGAGAGTCAGTATCACCTATCACATTTCTATATTAAACATGTGATTATATGAAATTTATCTATCTTTGATTTCTATTTTACAAAGTAATTAGATAGAAATTGGCATGAGCAAAAATTGAAACACTAAAAAAAAAATGTAAAAGTTTTTTTAAAAATCGTTTTTGAAATTAAAAAAAAGTCAGCTTAAGTATATTTTTTAAATATTTAGAAATGTAATTATAATTAACTATTGATATACATCCAGGGTGACTATAATATGACTCCAGATAGACATTTAGGCGCAGCATGGATAGACAAGTGCAGACCAGATTTACTCATTACAGAGTCAACATATGCCACAACCATCCGAGACTCAAAGAGGTGCAGGGAAAGAGATTTTCTCAAGAAAGTTCATAGCTGTGTTGAAAAAGGAGGAAAGGTATACTTGTTTCACTTATACCCTTGCTATATGGTATACATGAGTAACATATTGGCTATTTGACAGAGGTATGTACTTTAGTGCGCATACTTTTGTTATTTGACAGGATATACTTTAGTTTCTATTCCTTTGCTATTTGATAAGGTATTTGTAAGTGCCTATTTCTTTGGCTGTTTGACAAAGATATATTTTAGTGCCTATGCATTTGCTATTTGAGAAGGAACTCTTTACCAAAATTAATTTAAAACAGTTATTTATGTAATTTAGTGTATACCACTGAGTACTTTAAAAATTGCATATTTTATTGAATGTACTTATGTTTTTATCAGGTTTTGATTCCAGTATTTGCTCTAGGCAGAGCTCAGGAATTGTGTATACTGTTAGAGTCCTATTGGGACCGCATGAATCTCAAAGTTCCTATCTATTTCTCCCTTGGTTTGACAGAGAAGGTTAGATAACTCTCATAGTTTTATCTTTTATCAGCTATTATCACTTATCTGTGTTTTAATTAGTGAATTATTTTTTCACATTATGATGTATGTTAATTTTTCATTATATATTTTAAATTTCCTTTAAATTACCTTGATCTTTAATATTGCATTTATTTTATTTGCTTTAGGCCAATCATTATTACAAACTGTACATTACATGGACAAGTCAAAAAATTAAGAAAACATTTGTTCAGAGAAATATGTTTGACTTTAAACACATAAAAGTAAGTAATCTATAATAATAATTTCGCTGTCTGTCTATCTATGTATCTATCTATCTATCTGTCTGAGAGAATGCTCTAGAGAAAACACAAGCAACTTAAAAACATGCACAGTAAAGCGGAAGCGAAATATGACGTCATATTCAGCATATAGTAGAAAATAATATCAAGCCGGAGAGTGCACACAGTAATATGACGTCATTGATTCTCCAGTAAACATTGAATAAAAAGGCAACTTTGTCTAATCTAAGTGGTTTGCGTGAAGAGTTTCTTTCATACAATTCTTCGGGTAGGGGCGAAGCCCCATCCTCGCAAAAGAACGTCTAAGCCCCCCCCCCCCCCCCCAACTCAAAAGAAATTTCTTTCTAATTAATGTGTCTAATCTTAAAAGTGGTTTGCTTGCAGTTTCTTTCATGCAATTCTTCGGGTAGTGGCTAAGCGCGAAACCAGTGTTTCTTTCAGACTTTTTCCTCCCCGGAGGGGGGAACTTTTTCTAATCTAAAAAGTGTTTAGCGTGCACAGTTTTTTTCTCTTCCCCGCCCAGGTTCTTCCTTTAGTTTGTATGATCTACAAATGCGACCAGTGTTTCTTTCAAACTTTTTCCTCCCCGGCGAGGGGTGGGGGTACTTGAATGTTTTGGGGGGCGGGGATAGAATTTTCTGGGAGGGGCGGACACTGGAAAAAAGTATATAATTATATTTCCTTGAATGGGACGGTAGACATGTTTTGGGGGGTGTGTGGGGGGGGGGGGGGGAGAGCCCCCTCCTCCCACGTAGAGTTGCCTGAAAAACTCTAAATGCGACTTTTGTCATCAATGAGATTTGGTGCATGGTTTAGGGATATGCCTAAGACTATATTTTGTATAAATTAAAGTACAGATTCTGGATAAAAATCCGTTTTCAATGTCATTTTTTCGTTTCTGATTAAATTTAAGGTGGTGATTTTGGTTTTGGTTTTAGTTTAGAGAAAATAGACATCACTATCTACCTAGCGCCCGTTGTATCCTTCCTCAACGGGCCATTTTTCTCGTCTTAAATAAGGTTCATGTTAAACTTGTTTTTCTAAACACTAAGCTACATAATTTACCAAGTTTTTAAAAAGTAGCTTTTCTCAAAACATAATTCACTCTGTGTTTATTAAGGGAACATCTTTTAATGCCCAGTCACTACTGACAATAGAAAAGTTAATAATGTTGTTTTGACGTGATTTGGGTTTATTTATTGATTGTATAGATATATAGTCATGTGCTATAACACATTTTATATTGATCCATCTTAATGAATCTCAAATACACCATTTTAAAAAAAATGTTATTTTTATGGCATAAATCTAGATAAGAATAATTAAAATAATTTTAATTTGATTTATTTGGAATGACAGAATAACACATTTGCTAATGGGTGGTAGAGCACTCAGCGGCTAACATGGAAGTCTCAAGTTCTATTCTTGGTCTGGACTTGAGTCTGCATGTTAGGGAAAGTAAGAGCAACTAGGCATAGTGCTGACCACACTCTCCCTTCATATACAGAGGCCAAGAAACATAAACTCTACCTCTCTCTAGCTCATCTGCCCCTGTTTCCTTATTTCTGAAAGGGGAACTTTAATTGATTTGTCAGAAATAAGTATGAAAAGAGTGAAAATGAAAAAAGAAGTTTTTTTTAATTGTTAAATAAAACTATACAAGGTTTTTTTTTTGTTTTGCAACAACTTGTATACTATAGACTAACTTGTCAAGCTGAAGTGATTCTATAAATTTTTTGCCAGGCATTTGACCGCGCTTACATTGACAACCCTGGTCCCATGGTTGTGTTTGCCACTCCTGGCATGCTGCATGCAGGTCTCTCTCTACAGATATTTAAACGCTGGGCACCTAACGAAAACAACATGGTGAATTATTTTTATTTTTAGTTTAACAGCTTTCCAATTTTATAAATTTCAAACAGTTTAATATTTTACAATAGACCTTACAAGGATTATTATTTTACTGAATTATATTTTCTAAACTGTATTTTTTTCAACTGTATCTTTAATTCATTTCTTATAATTTGTTTAAAAAAAATTAATTACATCTACATATACAGATATAAGCAGAATCTTTAACTCATACATTACCTGTCTAGGTGATAATGCCAGGTTATTGTGTGTCTGGGACTGTCGGCCATAGAATTTTAAATGGTGCTCGTAAAATTGAACTGGAAAACAAACAAGTGGTAAGTGAAGGCATTTAGTTTAAATGGCAACTGTTGGCCTCTTGAGCATCCATTGACTTGGGCTTGCTGCATTTTACTGCGACATAGCAATTACAACATACTATTCATCTTTGTATGAATTATTACTTGCTTCTATACTAAAATGCTGGAAAAGTATTTTATAATATGTCATTTCCTTTTTTTTTGAGGCATCTTCGTATTACATATATTAGTTTTTTTTTTTAATCACATTGAATGCAGTTTTCAGATATATATTATATGTAATTGAATCTAGGTTAAGTATTTGCTATTGAACATTTGTTAATGCTATTCTCGTCTTTCTCAATAACTGTAGAAAATAAAAACTTACTTAAAGTCAGTAAACCTTACTCGTTTTGGCCTTGCAACTTGATTCTGATAAAAATGATAACAGCTTTAAAGTTTTTGTATCAATTGAAATAATTTTTGTCTAGCAAAGAAAAAATTGATATTGCATATTATAGCAATATGTTATAATACACATTTAATGGATGCTATTATCTAACTAATGTGAATACATTTTTTAATGTTACAATTTAAATTGTGCTGTTATTTCAGATAGAAGTAAAGATGAGTGTGGAGTACATGTCGTTCAGTGCTCACGCTGATGCTAAGGGCATCATGCAGCTCATATCCCACTGTGAGCCAAAAAATGTCTTGCTGGTGCACGGCGAAGGGGAGAAAATGGTGTTCTTGAAGAATAAAATTCAACAGGAGTTTGGTAGGTTACATCCCTTGCTAACAATGATATCTAGAGCTGTCCATTGGACAGATGAGGTAAAGTTAATCTAACTTCTGCATATGAATATTATGAAGTGATAGTATGATTAGCACTATCTGCAGCTATCTTTACTCCCACCCCCACTCAAGTTGGGTACCCATTTGCACTGGGTGGACTCAGGCTTGTCCTACAGACTTGTAATTTATCATTTCTAGAATTTGAGATTAGCAATTGCATGCTCTACCACTCAACAATGCAGTCATTTCAGCACTTGTTTAAGATTGTGATTTAAATCTAGTGAATATATTTCTCAAAAAAAACAACTGTTTGTTATTTAATAACTGAATTACTAAAATTCTTTTGACTAAATGGTTGCTAAAAAATATTGTTGATTCTGATCATGAAACCATAATGTAAAAAAAAAAGCTGAGTGAAAATGGTTCCAACTATAAACAAAACAAAAAATTTATGTTTAAAATTGTAAATGAAAATTTGTGAGAAATGGATAATGGACACCTTGTCTGTTTTAGGCATTGACTGCTTCATGCCAGAGAATGGAGAAACCAGCGTGATCAAAACAAAACACAACATACCTCTGGACACCTCTTTAAATTTATTGAAACGTCAGCTAGTACCAGCAGAAGGTAATTTAACTTATAAAACACCACTTAGTTAAAATTGTGTATATGTAGATAGTTATCCTTTTTATAAATTATAGCATACGAGCCAACCCGCGGCATTTCATACGCCGCTATTTAGTTGCTTTATTTTCTACTTTTCAGTAATTCATAATTTGTGAATTCAACAGTACTAATGCTTCCACTGAAAATATTTGCTTTAAAACACTATCATTAGGTCGTTGAGGACGATACTACCCCCACCCTCCTTTCCCCAACACCTACCCTACACGCCCCCCCCCCCCCATGAAAGCAGCCTCCTCTTAGTTACCTCCCCTAAGTTTAAAATCTTTTCAAACTAAATTACCTGCTCCTAATAGCCGTCACTAAACCCGGCTCTACGATTTGTAAACATTTAGCATGAACCAAATCTCACCAGACCATGTAGGGGTGGGGTGGTAGGGAGCGCGCTTACAGCTTGTTTTCTAGCGTCTCTCAGAAGAGAATTATATATATACAGATTTTCATTATCAGTTCTGATAAAAATCTGAACATATATTTACAAAAACCTGTGCAGATCTAGTATTTCTGTTTCTTCGCATACAATAATCCTGTACTAATGCTACTTCTTTGAATTTTAACCCAAAAAATGTGTTGTATTCTCCAGAACCTGAAGAGCCAGACCCTAAACATTTAAAAATCTTGCATGGGGCTCTTCTAATGAAAGGAAGTGTAAGTAATTCTAACACTGCATTTAAAATATTTAATTGTTGCTTAACAGAGCTCACAAAAAACAGTTTCCAAATTTTTGATGATTATATTTATATTCACTGAATAGTTATTATAAAATGGTTGAAAATGATAGAAAATATTTTATAGAATCAACAAGCTTAGATAATGTAATAATTTTTTGCTTCATTTATTTTAGCGCTACCATGTGTGAATATTTCATGTAAAAAATATAACTCTACTTATTTATAAGATTTTTTATTTTTTAGCGGATGCAACTCACTGAGCCTTCTGCAGCTTTTCGTGAACTTGGGCTTGAGGAATATGAACTTCGTTTCACGTGTAACATCAGCTTAGAAGAAGAAGGCACCATCTCAAACACAACAGACAGAGTTTATAGAAGGCTTCAAAGGTCAGAACACTTGTACCAAATTATAATTGCTGATTTGTTTTTCCAAGTGTATGAAAACAAAAATTGCTTTTAAATCCAGCTAGATTATTACAACAAAATAAGATTCACATTTTAGTTCTTCTTCAGACTTTAGAAAAATAACCAAAAAAAGAGATTTTAATTTTGGAAAAGCAAAATGATATTGCATTTTTTTAGCTGGTTTCAGTAAAGTGCTCATAAGTATGTAACTTTAAATCACATAATCCATTAGCTCAGTGCTATTTAGAGAGCCTAACACTTCTGTATGAGTTGGATGACTGTCTATGTTTCTCTTCCAGAGAGTTCCCACACTGTGCAGTCCAGTTCTCAAACGATGGTTCCATTACAATTGGTGACTCTGTTCTGGTCAAAGTCTCAGGGGACGAGGAGAGCAAAAATATTCTGGTCTCCTGGTCACATCAGGTGAGGGAATGTCATTGTTGTGGGCATTGTTGTAAAGTTAACGTAACTGTATTTGTATTATTGAACACACCTTGCATCAACCAACTACCAACATCATCGGACAGACTCTGGAATCCCCAAGGAATGAAGAAAGTAGGTAGGTCAAAACAAACATAGAAAAGGTCAGTTGTCAGTGAAGCAGCTGAAGTGACGTGGGCTGAACTTGGAGGTGTAAAGTTAATTAAGCTTGTGCTCTATAAGTATATATTTGTACAGTGAACCAGGGTTGTTTATTTTCTTTATTGGTATCTATGTTGTTAAAATTATCTTCATCATTACTGAAAACTTAGTAAAGTAATCATTACTATTTTTGTATTATTTATGGGAATGTATATAAAGTAAATTTAAGCTTGTAATGTGTTCATTATGGGTATCTTAGTAAACATTGTCTTCAGTATTAACTATTATTGAAATCTTCATAAAATAAACAAAGGTTCAGTGTGTTCTATAGGGGAATCAAGTTCTTTTGAACATTAGGCAGTAGTTTCTTGCCACAACTCATTATTTTGGTACTCTGAACAGTTAAACTAGTAGCCTTATCTCAGCAAATGTTGCTCAACTTTATCCCTACTTTTATTATTTAGTGCTTATATCAGTGCTGAAGTTTTGCTAAAACTAGTGTTAGGGTTGGGATGGTGTATGCTATTGTTGTAGATATAGAGAAATAATGATCTAAACTTTTTCTCAGTAAGACAAAAAGAAGAAAAAAATATTCTGGGAATATACAAATTTGTCATAAGATATGAATTATTGATCTCTGACAGTATACATTGAATGAAATCAAATCTAAAAAAAATGTAATTGAAATATTTTTCACCTATTATCAGTTTTAAATAATAAATAATAATTTTTTTTACTTATTTCAAATCTCTTATGTTTCAATTCCATCAATAAATTTAATACCTTATTTTTATTGGTTTTTATAAACAGGATGAGGACATTGGCAGTCACATTCAAAGAGTTCTGCGACCCGAACAATGTTAAATTTGGTTTAAATGAAATAAAATCTTTTTGTTACCTAGTTTTTCAATTTGCTTCTTGTAATTTTCCATGTCATGCAGAGTTGATACAGGGAAAATTATTTAGTCTGTTTAATTACTTGGTGTTGAGTATCCAGACGAAATAACCTACATGTTTTTTAAATCCATGAATAATGTACGTAACATAACCCAAAAGGAATAAACAACATATTATATTAGCGCTGAAAAAACGAGTGTAATATTGTTTTTTCTTGTAGTCAATTTGGTTTACGTTGTTCGAGCCAATCTCAGCAGCTGAAACATAAGTTGATGGTTGGCTTTTTAAAGTTTTTGGATGAAGAGGTACAAGATATTTGTGTGGCTTTATTTAGTCAGCATTTTCTGAAACACTTCAATCTGTTACATTCTTCTTACTACACTATTGATTTACTCTGTGTTAAGACAAGATAGTCTTCAAAACAAAAACAACTAAAATTAACATTTTTATAAATTACATACTTAAATTGAACATATTTTACATTTTAAAAAAAAAAAGAAAACACTATGAAATGTATAAAAAACATTTTAATATAAAATCACAAAAATAGTTGTAAATATGATAATATCTTAAAGTTTAAAGTGAGCATATATATGAAGGCATATTTGTTGTAAAAACAGTTAAGATAATTTGGTAACATTATTATTCTATAAAAACAAAAAAATTACATATCTTTTGGCCCATTAGTACATCAACATTCAGGTTTATCAAGACTCAAAAAAAAAAAAAAACCACCACTAAAAAAAAGAGACCAATCATAAGCTCTACAGATAAAAAGAGGTCGGAGTGGTCAAGTTGATAAAGCTCATGGTTGCTAAACAGAAAAGTCTCGAGTTCGAACCCTCAAAGAAGAAGATCAGCTAAAACAATAATTTCATTGTACGCTATAATGGTTACATACATTTTGAATTTGACCTAGCTTACTTGTTAGGTATAAAAATGTTGATTAATGTGTCATATTATTTCAAACTTCCGCTGCCATGTAAAAAACTACAAAGACCTGCCCAAGATTGTACTATACAACACATCCTAATCCAACCAAAAGAGCATTATTTAATTTCTGTCTCAAGTCATAACCTCAGCCTGTTGGAATGTAATGCCACTATTTCCATTATTTCCTCCTTTTTTTTTTATTTGGCCAACTTCATTATTTCTTGTCATATGTAGGCAGCAGTCCTAACAACTGTTTGCTGTCATACTTAACACATGACCCTACTAATACAATAATGGATAAAAGAATTGTATATGATTCCTTAATACAAATACTAACAACAAATCAACTATAACTCCACATAAAAAGATTCTGGGCTTATAGTCTTTGTTCTGGCAGCTTTTTTGTGGCACCCAACCTGAACTAGTCGCAGGTTACTGCGTGTAAACAAATACTTATAAACCTCATCACTGTTGAGTTTACTTCCCTTGGGCTTCTTTTTGGCTGCCTCTATAAGACTTGGTATAACCTCCCTTGATTTCTCAGTGCTGTAAGGGAGGGTATAACATGCAAGAAAGATCACACTGGGAGACAATTCAATAATATTATAAAGGTGGTGATTGATATATAAACAGGACAGTGTAGGATAACTGAGGAGAATCACATTTTTGGCATGTCATATGAGTCCCTGACATCTAGACACTGGAATTTTGTACTGCACTAACTCAGATAAGCTTTATTTTATCTGCCATAGTGGCTACAAGTTTAATAGAATATTTCATTCTTAGGCGTTTTTATTTTAATTTTAGAGGCGTGTTAAATTTTAAAGAAATTATAGTTATTTTTATGTAATATTTTGTATGCTGTAAATATTCTAAAAGTAACTTAAAATTTTTTTAATTAATCAATTATAAATTTAAAAAAAACAAGGGAGGCTACTTACATGTGGTCCAGGTTCCACAACCCAAAGAGTTGTCTATAGCCCTTGGAAGCATAGGGGTTTATTCTATGAAGCTTCAGACACTCTGCTTCATCAAAAGCCCCTTCACATTTAAACCAGCCTTTGTTGTCACAAAACCGCTGCTTGGCTGATGCTGACCGGTCAAAGTAATGCCCATGATAACCATTTTTCTTTAACTTAACATTCATTTCTTCCATAATAGCAGACAAAGCTGACTTCACAGCGGGGTCATTTTCCTTCTTTATTTGGTCTTTGGCCTTTAGATAAAATAGAAAGATATTTGATATGTATGTATATATGATCATTAATATTTAATTTATAATAAAAAAAATTTTTATTAAAATAAATGAAAGCTATGCTATTATTCAGCATTTCTTGTAAGCAAATATGAAGTTTCATAGTTTATAATGAAAATTTCAAATATCTGAGCTATAAATTGATGGAAAAAAAAATTAAACAAAAATTTTTTATGGTTGAACTGGCTGAACTAAAGATGTCTTTATCTCTTTCGCTATTAATTTTTGGTGTCCTTAAAGTCTCACTGTTTCAATGGCCATGATCTGTCTATACTTACACTAGTGAGATAGCTTCTTATTCTCTGTTGAGCTGCATTTTTCATTACCTCCCCTTTTGTTTTATACTTTTTATCCAAACCTTTTGTTTTGAACAAAAATACTCAATATTTAATCAATATTTAATTAATATTATTATATCGCGTTTATACCTATGACATGTATACTATACATGTCTAAAAAAACTTTGTAATATGTGAGTATGCCCTCCTATCATGTTCTGATAAAATTAACTTATGGTGAAGTTTTTTTTTCTAGTAAACATGTCGCAAGTGTAAACGCTGTGATAAGTGAGGCAAGAACCAGAACTCTAAACAACACAGCTTTCCATTGTTTGACTTCAATAAGGGGAGGTGATAACTATTGAAAATTTTTTTTTTTTTTAAATTTAGCATCAAATATTTAAACTATTTTTCTCACAAAAAAAAGTAAGAAGTAATTTTTTATAAATAAGTAGATTGCCATAAAATGAAAAAAGTAATATAATAAATTTTGAATTACTCACCCTCAAACCAATCTTCATCCTCAAAACGCTCCTCAGCATCAACATCAGTGGCAAGTATATCCAAATACTGAGAAATGATGCTAATTTTTTCAGGGGATTTTTCATCCCCTAGTAATTCTCTTATCTCAACAGCTATTTCTTGCTTTTTTGTGTTATTGAAAAGCTTGTTCAAAGCAAAATAAACCAGTTCACCAACTGTGTAAAAAAAATTTGTTTAGTTATACAACAAGATGAAACTTTGTATAACTAAAGCTAAAAGTAATACATTAAAATTAAAGATACAAGTCATACATTATAACTGTATATAGTTATTAATATAGAAGTGGAAACAAATTATCTGTCTCTCTGAGCTAAATATTACTCACAAAGGTAAAACTAAAATACTTTAAGTACTAGTTAGTAAGAGAAAACATATCTTTATAGGAAGAAGAAATAAATAATTTCAATTAAAATTAAGTTCTGTCATAAAAATGACTAGTGATCTAAACATTTTAAAAATATTTTTAACCTTTGGCTAATCCTCTATCCAGTTGTGGTGATCATTAACACTAGAATCAATTCATCCCAAAGTTCTTTTTTATTATCATATGTAGCTGTCTAATCAAGTGTGAACAAGGAGTCAATGTAAATAAAGAGAACTTTTAGACCAGGCTCATAAAGTTATATTTACTATATTTAGGTAAGGTTCATTTCTTTGTGTGGCCTTAACACAATCTGTGAATGTAGGGTCAATACCATAGTCAACTTTTCCATTCCTGATTGTATTAGGAATCTCACAATCTATGATTCTACTGAAGTCATTAACTATCAAATGGATATCCACAAAATACAAACCTCCATTCCAGTTTTCACCTGCTCTCAGAAATACAAAACAAGACTGTGATTCGAGTGTATTGAAATAATCATCGGAGTCCACCTCAGTTCCATCATCTTCACAAACAATTGTGACTTTTTCATTGGCTGGTATCTGCAGAATTAGAAAAAAAATAATGTACGGCCTACTAATAGTATTTAAATTTCAAACTATATCCAGCAGTAATTCCCACTGATTTTAAACATACTTTTTAGCTAGTATGCAAATTTGAAGAAATTTCGGCTAACGATTAGGGCAACAGTAAAAACTTTGAGATATGACAGCTGGAATATCTTCATGGCTTAAATGCTTAGAGATTAAAGACAGCAAGGTAGACATAAAAAATAGAAACAGCAGATTTGAAAAGAAAAGCATAAACAGGCAAAAACTGTTGAGTAATCACTGCTATGTCAAAACTGAAATATTTTTAAATTATACTGGTAAAAAAGAAAGAAAAATTAAAAATAATAGGCCAATAATCTTTGTCTTAAATGATTGTTTTATACTATGTTTTTCACTAGCAAAAATATTAAAATTTCTAAAAACAATCGAACAATTTTAAATAAAAAAATGAATAACAAGTGGTTTGTGTTTGAGATGAAAACATGTTACATTTTAATATTTAATTAGCTTTGATCTTTGATGTTCAATTACAGATTTTAAAATGAGTAAGAATTAATACAATCAAGGTCAATAACAGCTTACTTTTAGTTTTTGCTTTCCTTTCTGTGTTAAATCAGCAAGGTTTTTTGCTGTGATTCCAAATCGATTTTCCCGACTTGCATCTTGAACTTTATATGCTTTCATTGCACTGCCACTATCAAATAGGTTCCGTAAGATCTGATACATTGATGTACAGTTATTTGGTTTCTTTAATAAGTTTAGCCTCGTTAGCACAAGTATACATACAGTATAATAAGTCCTATAAAAATTGTAGTCTCAATTAAAATTTTAATTGAGTTCAATCAAAATTTTACACCAAATTAAAATATATTTGCAGAAACTTGTCGTCCATCAATTATGTCATCCTCCTTAGGCATCTTAGAGAAGGGGAAGGTTTAGAATTTTGTGATATGTGATTTGACAGAAGGGGAGGGGTAGGGGAGTCGTTTGACCATAATTATAACAGATTAGAATCTACATAGAACTGTAAATAAAGTAGATTCGTTAGATTATTATTGCAGATCTAGATCTAAATAAAATTCTCAAGTGAGGCTCAATTCAAAGTGTAGAAGTAAAAGAGTAGAAGTAGAAGTCAAGTGATTTGAGTGTAAACTTTACTGTAAACTGTTTAAGTGTTTAACAGACTACTGTACATAGTATACTACAATGAGTGTGTGTAGAGTGTAGAGTATTAGATCTAGATCCAGTAAAGTAAAGACAGAGTAGAGTCCAGTGGAGTAGATCTTATCTAGATCTAGATCTAAAAGTTAAGTAAAGTTTACCTTTCAAACCTGACGGTCTATGGGGCAAGTGAAGTAGAGTTCACTTGTTTCTGTTACCTCGGCATATGAAGAGATAGTGTGGTCAGCACTATGCCCAGCCGCCTTTACTTTCCCTAACAAGAGTTGGGTGGACTCAGGGACGGTCTACTGACTTAAACCGGATTTGAACTCGAGACTTACGGGTTAGCAGTCAAGCTCTCTACCGCAAGACCACTCCGTCCTATCTAGATCTAGATCTAGATTCAACTAAAAATTGACTATTTCAATAACTCTAGACTAGTCTAGATTCTAGATCAACTAGACTACATGTCTTGCTTGAGAATACTTGAGAAAGTTGAGACTTGAGTGAGTGAGATCTTGAAAAACCAAAACCTTTTCAATTTTCATTTCAAGTTTGTGAATTTAATTTAATATATTAGGCCTAATAATAATTAATATTATTATATATTATTATTAGGGGGCCTAATAATAATATTAATATTATTATGTCTATGTAGGCCTATGCTATGTCTATACCAGATCTCTCTAGACAAAGATTTAAGTAAAATTATAATTAATAGATTTATAGTATAGGCCTAATAATATTAATAATAAAATGATTTTGTTAACCCACTTATAGAAAAATACCTCTACACTTCTACTTCTATGCATACAATTTTATTTCGCAATTCGTAAAGTTTTGTGTTCACAGTTTTATAATTGTGGGTCTCGCTAAACAGCGAAAGCTACAAAACAGTATAACGCGTTTTTTTTTTTTTTTTAAATATAGAGCATTCTATGTAAATCCATACCGTTTTAAATATTATTTATTATAAAACTGTTTGCTATATTGGATCCTCCTTAGGGGTCATCCATAAATGACGTCACACTCGTAGGGGGAGGGGGGTCCGTAATTTTGTGACGATGTGTGATGAGGGGGAGGGGGGGGGGGGGGTTCAGATGTTGCGACGTCACACTTTTGCATTTTAAAAAAGCAATGTTAGAAAACAAATTTTAGACGTTATTTCGCGTATTAGATAACTATTTTAATAAATTGTAATAGTTTAGACAAGATTATCGATGTTTAAAAAAAATTCAATTGCAATTTTGAGGGGGTTGTAGGTTGAGGTGTGACGTCATTTTAGGGGGGGGGGGTCTAGCTTTTTGTGACGACGTGTGACGGAGGGGAGGGGGAGGTAAAAATCGTCAAAAAAAGCGTGACGTCATTTATGGATGACCCCCTTAAACGACATTAAAATATGTTATGGTGGTGGGTTTGTAGGAGTATGCAAATTTAAATTATTTTAAAACTTGTTGATAGTCCCAGTTTTATATCAGGATGTTAGTTACGTATGTTGAGGATGCATACAATTATTTATTACATGCAGTCATTTATGACGATCTGAACTTTTTCGATCCAAATGCTGGCTGGGTACATTTTTTTTTTAATTCGACCAACTCAATGTCATATCTCGTATTTATTTTTTTTTTTTTTTTTTTTTTTTTTTTTTTTTGTTGATTTCGTGTATTTTTTTTTTGTAGGTCTGTATGATAAAAAAAATATTTAAAGTAGGCTTAGCAGCTAGTATCTTTAGTCAATGAAAAAATCTAGCCCCCCCCCCTCCCACCCCCCCCCCCCCCCCATAACCCGAACCAGAACGAACACGCCTTCCTCTCACCAGGATAGCTGAGTCCACCAACCAACCTCATAAAAAAGCTCCCCGTCTGCTTTCTAGGCTCTATTCTTACTTGTGAACGTTTAAAAATGGCTCCGAAGCAGACGACCGAAAAGGGGCAGCTAGCCATGTGTCTGTTAAAATTATGCATACAATGCTGATTAGGTCTAACTAGTATTGAGGCTACTGATTACAACTTCCTTTGTAGTCTTCTCAGACGTAAGTAAATTGTCGCTGGTGAATAAATCCATATTCATTTACATTTCAGTGGTGTCTCCAAGTCTACAAAAAATACCGTCTGTAGAAATCAGCAAGCATTTTTAAACATATTGAATTTAATATTTCAAAGATCGGTGTTGTGTGTTTTAAGATAATTGTAAGATAACGACCTATTTTTACACACTGGGAGGGAGTGGGGCGCCAAAATGGGTAGACTTTGTTTTTATTATAAAATTATATTTATAACTTCATTCCTGAATTGTACGAAATCGAAAAATGAAAACAGACACATGGTTATAAAATGTGTTTAAATTTAAATTATTTTCATTTATATTATGTATGTCCCTATAAACAATATATACCACAACTATAAGCGTTAATTTTTTTTTTTAAAAGTACAATTCTCTTTCAAACCTGACGGCTTATGACCTATGGGTTAAGAAGTAGAGTTCAACAGTTTTTGTGACATCGGTATATAAAGAGATAGTGTGGTTAGAATTAGTGGCGTAGGCAGGGGGGGGGGGGGGATAGGGGGGGTCATAATCCCCCCCCCCATAGACCCCTCGGTATAAAGAAAAAGTATGAGGGGGGGGGTGCAAATCGAAAGTTTGAGGGGGGGGGGGGGTGCAAATCGAAAGTTTGAGGGTGGGGTGCAAATCGAAAGTTTGAGGGGGGGGGGGTGCAAATCGAAAGTTTGTCCCCGGGTAAAAATTAGAACCCCCCCCCTTGAGACGATCCTGGCTACGCCACTGGTTAGCATAATGTCCAGCTGCCTTTACATCTCTAACACGAGTTAGGTACCCACCAGTGCTGGGTGGACTCAGGGACATTCCACTGACTTGAACCCGGATTCGAACTCAAAACTTTCGAACGCTAGGCAACGCTGTCACCCTAAAGCGTTAATGGTTTTTCAAAACAAGAAATTGGCGCTATGTAAGTCCTCCAAGCCTAACCTCACTTTCTACAATCTCTCCGGATATTTCTAGTCCTGGACACATAATATCAGTTATTGATTTTTAATCAATTTGATGCCGATAATTAGAGTGTTAATAAATGACGCGACCCGTTCTTAATTTTTTTTAACGTTATTTTTTTAAATATTTAAAAAATAAGAATGTTGTGTCAGATTAAACACTTATACATTAGTGCTCTACAAATATTCTTCATCAGCTGTATCGCTGTGATCTGGATACTGTATAGATGGTGTCTGAGATGGTTACTTTGTGTTACTAGAATATATATATATATATATATATATATATATATATATATATATATATATATATATAAATATATATCATTGTTTACATTTAATTAACTCAGTTTTAGAAAACAAGGCCATACGTCTAAGAATATAAAACACTGAAGAAACCCTTCTTATTTATTTTGTCAGACTTTCTTCTAAATTCTCGGCAACGTGCGGGGACGTGCACGCTAGTATATATATATATATATATATATATATATATATATATATATATATATATATATATATATATATATATAATATATATATATATATAGATATATAGATATATAGGCCTACACACATATTAAGGCGTAAAATTGAAAGCGTGTTGGGGCGTAGGGTTGGGTCGATATGCCTCAGCTTCACATTCAGGAACTAGTTTTTTCGCTTTCTTTTTGCCGCTCTTAAATTTGAAAGTTGTGCAGTCCAAATCCTCTACCCTTTACATCCGAATATGACAACACAGAAAAAAATAACAAAGTAAAAACAGTATCAAATCTACTTTCTAACTGAATGTTTATTTGAACTATTATATCAACATTTTCATTGAATCAAAACTCTTTTATTTTAAATTTCGTTAAGTCTCACAAAAATAATTTATTAGCGTATTAACATGCATAAATCTTGACATCTCGAATACTTCAAGTTTCTGGGCATGTGCATAGCAAAATCAGACTTTGAGGGTTGGGTTTACTGATGAACATAGTCTGGCTGGTTGCTGCTCATGTTATTGTTAATGGTGTTAGATACATCTCACTGGCTGCCATTTTAGCCAGTTAACGAAAAGAAATGATGCATCTTTTCCATCCCAAACGCCACAATATTTTTTTTTCAAATACCAATATGCTGGCACAATCGTATAAAACTTTCCTTTTTTTTCCATTCATGAACTTTACGAATTGCTAATATAAAAGGATAATTATGAATAACCATTGGGAATTTTCATTTTTTTCGCCAACTCTAACCTATTTTTTAAAAGGAAGACAATGACGTGTTTGAGCTTTAAGAGAAACATTTTAAAATCTTAAGAACTCTAAAAGAATCTCAGGAGACACTAGTCTACAAGACAACAAAAATAGATTTTTCTTTCTGTGATCAAAATAGCCTCACAAACAACCTACATTACTAACCGAAGTATTAGATCGCATAGAAAGCTAAATGTATTTTGTTTGCATCTTCGTGTATTTTCATTCACCGCCAGTTAATAACAAAAGAGAGATTAAAGGGAAGTAATAAAAAGAAAGAAACAAAATGAAATTTTCGCTACGTTGACTTGAAAAAATGTCGATATAAGAGGCCAAGCAAGCTTCTGACGCTAACATTCTGAAAATGAAAATAGTAACCATGATTACAATAACGTATAATTATACTTATACTATAAAGCTGTATTAATTATAGACTGAATAGATTTTGTTACAAACACAAATAAAAATTAAATTCAACCGATGAATAATTAAAAAACCAAAATAATCAGATATGTTAAGTTTAAGCTAAGCGATAATTTCTAAAACAAAATTACCCAACTATGATTTTTTAGCGCTGGGGATAAGCAAATAAAATCTAATCAACAGTCGCATTAATTTTGTCTTCGATGTAACATTTTTGTTTGTTTTGCAGAATGTTGTTAGTCTAGGTTTTGTACGTTATACCATATTCTAATACACCTACCTGAGTATTTACTTATTTGTTTGAGGTTGATAGTTTAGTTAGACTAAAGTAGGATTATTAATTCCGCTTACCCTACATGAACTTGCAGGTTGATAGTTTAGACTAAAGTTAGATTATTAATTCAGCTTACCTTACATAAACTTGCATATTGATAGTTTAGACTAAAGTAGGATTATTGTTTCCGCTTACCCTACATAAACTTGCAGGACGCCACGTCTAGAGCTGCACCCTATGCGATTTCTCTGGTTTTCATTGGGTTTTCCCGGCTGAGGTATGTCTACAAACAACAGGGAAACAAAAATTAGCACTGCCAGTTGGCACAAAATATGATTTAGGGAAACAAAAATTAGCGTTTCCAGTTAGTACAAAATATGATTTAGAAAAACAAAATTTAACGTTGCCAGTTGGCACAAAATATGATTTAAGAAAACAAAAATTAGCGTTGTCTTTTGGCACAAAATATGATTAAGAAAACAAAAATTAATTATCATTGCCAGTTCAAAATATGATTTAGGAAAACAAAAATTAGCGAACAACAGTGAAACAAAAAA